AAGGTTACAATCGACTCGATTGAAGTTGGTGATGCTGATATAAAACCTGTACAAGAAGTCCGAAATCTAGGTTCGTGGTTTGACGAACATATGTCGATGAATATCCATGTGGGCAAGGTTTGCAGCAAAGCATTTAGGGGCTTGTACAACATCCGACAAATAAGGAAGTTTCTCTCCATCGAATCAACTAAAACGCTCGTACATGCCTTTGTGACGTCACACTTGGACTACTGCAATTCTCTCTTGTTCGGCAGTCCCCAATACCAACTTCAGCGTCTTCAACGAGTTCTCAATGCCGCTGCTAGAGTGACGTGTCTTATACCAAGATGTGCTCATATTACCCCTGTCCTGATGCACCTTCACTGGCTGCCTGTCAAGTTTCGCGTTGATTTTAAAATTGCACTTCTGGTATATAAAGCTCTCCACGGGATGGCGCCAGGCTACATTATGGAACTGTTGTTAGAAAAACCGAACTGTTGTTATCAACTGAGATCTGATGATCAGGGACTACTTTTTATCCCAAAAACTAGAGCCAAGACTCTTGGTGATCGAGCATTTGTGCATGCAGCTCCGTCAATTTGGAACATGCTACCTTCTGGTATTAGAAATAGTAAAACAATTGACTGTTTTAAATCTCAATTAAAGACTTTCCTTTTTAAGAAAGCTTTCGATTCTAACTTTTAGATTTATAGACACCTATACCTTAATTCTTAATATTTTAGCTACTTGTATATAGTATAACTTCATTGTTGTAAAGCGCTTTGGAATATTTTATATAATTTAAGCGCTGTATAAATCTTTATATATTATTATTATTTATTATTCTCTGCATGCCATCTCTTTATCTCCTAAAACATTGGATCATATATATATATATATATATATATATATATATATATATATATATATATATATATATATATATATATATATATATATATATATATATTATATATATATATATATATTATATATATATATATATTATATATATATATTATATATATATATATTATATATATATATCATATTATATATATTATATATATTATATACTATTATATATATTATATATATTATATATATTTAGTATAATTACATAGGTGATTATTGAAAATTCTCCACGCTGATTGGTTGCCGTTGAGGTGATTATTACGCGATAATCACCTAAGCGATTTTCAAAATGGCGGCCGAAGCCTTTTTGTCAATTAAATGACGAAGAAATGTGGATTTTCTTATTTTTTTCCAAATAATCACCTATGAAATTATACTAAAACAATTATTCACCTCAGGCTCGGTGATTATCGTGAATAAAAACCTCGACTTCGTCTCGGTTTTTATTCACCGATAATCACCTCGCCTTCGGCGAATAATTTTTAATTAATGGCATGCAGTACAAATACACAATCACAAAATTACTCACAGAGTCTTTCGTGGTGAACTCAAGTGTCGGTTTAAGTATATTTTCAACCAAATCCCACAATTTGCCCTAAAACAAAAATAGAAAGGAAGGAAAAACAATTTAGAATTGTTTGTGCGATGCTTAATTAAATTAACATATAATGAAAATCAATCCGTTGGGGGGGGATGGAGTCGGCTTAGATCGCAGTCTAGTTGAGAGAGGGGGCTTGCCAGGACAATGGGCAAGCGACAAATGACTAAAATTAAGATCGCTTAACCGAGAAAATAAATCCCAGCTACGCCAGCACCATGCATGTTCTACCAACTTTAGAGTCATTTATATGAGGGAATATAAACCGCGGCTTAAATAAGTCACGAACGACTCTATAAACAGTCAGTTTGCAATACGTAGCGACTTATTTAGGTCTAGTTTTCAACCCTGGTTTGCGAAAAAATTGATCGCTTATACGACACGTTCGCGACCTGTTTAGGCAGGGCTTAGTTAAATCGCGGCTTACTTCTGCTCGCATAAATGGCCTTTTGACACGCAAATTGTCCAATTTTTTCTTCGACTCAACAACAAAGTTGGTATCAAAATGATCAGAAAAGATGAAATTCTAATCTGTCGTAAAAAACTCGATTTTGAAAATTTCGTGTCATAGCACTTTAAATTAAAAAACACACCTGCATATGAGTCATGTTGCAGCATCCAAAGAGCTTTGGAACAATATCGTTTTTCAGCACGATGTGGCAAAAACAGTCTCGTGTACCTGGCGTGGCTTCCACGAACCGTTTGAATGTAATGTCAGCCATTGGCATCAGGCCAAATGTAATGCATTTAAAATGAGATTGCAGATACGACTTATGCTGTTTAAATTTTTCCAATAAAGAAATCAGCACTAAAGAAGCTATTGCACCACCACTGGAATGTCCTAAAAAAATTAGAAAAACAATTGAGTAACTATTTGACTATATAGTATACTAAACATTTTCATATTATACTTTATTATATGGCAAGGCGGTCCATCTGCAAAATGCAGCATTTTGATTGGGTTCTAAGCGGTCGATACGTGCAGTAAGGACCGCTAAATTTACCGCTCGCGAAGAAAAACCTGCAGTCAAGAAGCTATAAATATGTGACCTGTAAGTTATAAATATAAATATGTTCCCTGCAAGTTAGCTATAAATATGTTCCCTGCAGTCAAAAAGCTATAAATATGTGGCCTGTAATACTTTCTACTCTAGTTTGTGTTAAACTATTTTCTACATGTAGCTATATAAAAACACTTTTTAGGCGAACTTTAGATTGAGTAGCGAAATTTTACAACCATAGTCCATAGAAACGCGCCTTAACGCGGAGATAGTCCATCACTGCTGTATAACTTTCCATACGTAGTTTTATTTTGTGTATATATATATATATATATATATATATATATATATATATATATATATATATATATATATATATATATATATATATATATATATATATATATATATATATATATATATGTATATATATATATATATATATATATATATATATATATGTATGTATATATATATATGTATATATATAACTACAGACGGTACCGTTTCGGCCTAATGGGCCTCATCAGTGTAGTGCTGATGAGCAGGATGAAAGTAACTCTTATTTATAGTTACCTTTGATGCCTCACGATTGTGGGACATCAAAACCATGCCAGAGCGCTCAAACTGCAATATATATATATATATATATATATATATATATATATATATATATATATATATATATATATATATATATATATATATATATATATATACATACATATATATA